ATCCGATGTTGAATTTCATTGGTGGACAAAGACTACGATATAAAAAAAAAATACCTTCGCCCAAATAGTATTATACCCCCGTAGATATAATAAATATTTAATATTGTACTTTATACGTCCGAACAACGAAAACGTTCCGACACACGATTTTTGGTATTACAGTCGTCGCTGAATATATGTTATGCGTTTATATTTTTCGAATTAAATATGAGGTTTCACGATTTACATCCGCATATATATATATATATATATATAACATAATAATAATAATAATAGATTTTAAATCCGTATAAACACGCGTGAGACTGGTATGGAAATTGTAACGCCAATCGGGCGGTACATGTCGCGCCGAGAATATTATTATTATTATATTTTATGTTTGTCTATATTTGCGTAGAGCGTGTACGGTTATTACACTACTACCTATATACATGTATACATATATAATATAATATGATAGTCATTTTGTTCGCCATTCTTCCTAGTGAATGCTATTTAAACGCGAATAGAYCGTATGCATACATAGAGGTGCTGCTAATAAAAATCACCGCTGACCTGTTTAAAAACAAATTTTTTCACGTTATTTTTTCTGCAACTCTCTAAACTTGTGAATTTCCAGTTTTAACTCACCGTCATATGGACAATCTAATTTATGTGTGTGTGAGTTTATATATATTATTATTATAATATACGCAATCAGCGGTTAAAACTTTTAACATAACAAACGTTTAAGACTAACCACCACCGCGTGTTGTTATTCGCACAACAAGTGCAGTCGGTGTGGTATAATAATAATATAATAACAGTACCTAGATTATAATATTATAATTATAATTTTAATGTTGTTACACCGTGTATTTTGGGTTGGCTTTAGTTATGAACTTACACGTGTTAATGTGTGAAGTGAAGTCGATATATCATAATATTGTATCATACAATATCACTGTAGCTACAGAACCGATCACGTTCAATCCGAAAGATGGACGTAAAGAAAAAACAGCAACAAAATTATGCGAAAGAATACAATGGCTTCATGAAATGCTTTTCCGTTTATACGAAAAAATACCCTCTCGTGAATTTTGCGTGTTGATCGTTTGCAGTGAAAGCATTTTATTTTTTTTTTCTACTCTTATAAACAAGCCACCTCGAGCGTCGTTCGCTCGCACGCGATCATTTCGGACAGGTCAAAAGTCACGTCGAAAATCTCACGGAGGCCCGCTCCTTTATTATACTTTCGGGAGCAGATTCTGTCGGTTTTCTTTAACCATTTCAAAACCCCAAATTATAGTGTTTTATTTACGTAATAATGATACGATGGCCACGTAGTAGGTATTCTATTATTATAAAGTAAACTAAATGCTTATATTGTGATATTGTGTACCTACTGAAGTACTTCTCACCCTTGTAGAAGGTAAGCTATTATGAATAAAATAGCTATATTGGGTGGAGTTACAATGTTAAGTACAAAATGTGAAAATCCTTTATTTAATAGTATTTTTTTTTCAAGCGGTATCTCTCTGCCTTATTACTTATCACGAAAGGAAAACTTTTAATTGTTTTTTTTTCTCTAAGCCCGTTTTTAAAGTTAGAGTTTTCCAAAATTCAGCTTTCGCGTTAAATAAAAATTAGGTCTGGATAAGCCCTTTAAATTAACACTTTACAATCTTATTAAGAAATATATTTAATTAAAAAATTAATATCACCTGTAGGTATTGTAACCTAGGTACCTATACTATCATTTTAACATATCATTGCTGTTACATTAAATACTAACTATTGATCTTATACATGATACTTCCGTGAATAAAAAATTTCGGACTCCTTGAAAACCAAGATAGGTGTTAAATGATTCTATAATTATTGTTTGAAAAATGTTTAATGATTAGCTTGTTAATTATAAAAAATTTTTAATTTAATAGGTRGCTCATTAATAAATTAGAAATAGTCAAGAATGTGTTACTGCGTAATAATGTTTTGATGCAATATAAAGAACAAAAATGAAAATTTATTTATCTGCGTTTTAGAACGAGTCACACAACGCCGAACGTTTTTCTCTAATTATTGATTTTTCTACACCCTCCTTTACAATTTTGTAACGTATAAACCGGAAGAACTGATTTTGAATATTTATTACGTCCCTGTATTCTTTTGACGAATTCTGTTAAACATAGTTTTGTTTTTTAATCAAAAGTAAGAATTTTAATTTAAAAACGTGGAAACATATTTAAACGTAGATAACTATACAGTTTTGTATATGTATATATATATGTATTAAGCAATACCTACTTCATCAACACTGCTATATAAAGTTTTTTTGTAATTAAATAAATACCGACTACGGGGTATACTAAGAGTTGAGTACCGAATTATTTCAAACTAATATTAATTCTTGCTGTTTCGATTATAGTGTCGCTTAAAAAAAATTAATAATAATTACAACAACAACGTGGTCCCGGCGGCGGCGCTCGCACTAATCGTTTCTCAATATACCTATCGAGTGTAAAGAGTATTGCCATTTGCCACGCGCGACCGAAATGTCAGATGGCGATTATTCTCCGTTGTATTTTGGTCAAAGTCTTGGCCCAACGGATCGTATATAAATTATGTAACACGTAGTTTTATTGTCCAACAATTATTTTCAGTTGTTATTAATATAGGCAAATAATAACTTTATATTTTATATAATAGTACCTATGATCGATATCCAGTATTCCAATATGTACGCATAATAATAATAATTTATAGGTAAGTGACGCCCTGTAAATTATTAGTACCTTATCGTCTTCCGGATGTCTCACAACATGCGTCGTGTGATTTTTGCTTTCGTGAAAAAAAAACTTTCGAGTCGCACGCGTATGTATACTTGTGCGTGTATATATATATATGCATGTGTACCGAGTTTAACGGTTGCGGTAAGTTTTTACTTTCATCCTGACAGGGTCAGGTGTTGGAGCGGCGCCGCGCCGCGGGGATGTATCCTCTGCCGCCGTCGTCGCCTTCGCCTGCATCTCCGTCAGTCGCCGTTTAATGTTGACCGCTTTTAACGGGTCATTAAAATCTGCAAAATTTAAACGTCTAATGGTTCGTGYACCGTTTTTAAATCGCCCTTTAATCGGGTGACGAAACGTCCGCGTGTTTCTGAAGTYCACGTGCAGAATATTGGCCGTGWCGTAGTGCACAATTCACTCGCGCGCCAATTTAGYGCAACGCAATTTATGTAATATTAAAAAGTTTGACCGCTTAAAGGCATTCCGCCGTGTTGTATCGCGGTGTTTTCGCTTTCGTCCAAATGGTTTCCGCGTTCGTGTTATTTATTTGTTTACCGTTTTCGTTTTGTACATTATTACAGTAATATATTTGTAATATTTTGTGATCCGAGGTGAAGTATTTGCCGATTATATAGGTGACATATCACGTAAATTATAAATACGTGTCTATRTATAGATGATACGAACGAATCGTCGCTGCATCAGTGTGTTGTGGCCTTACGCCAATGCACACKAGCGTACCTACCTGAGACCTTTATAATATGATATATAGGTACTCGTGAATATATATGTTTTATATATATAACAATACGAGACGTGGCAATAAATCATCGTACGGGCGGCGGTTACCGATCAAGGATTTACGGAATAATATTTTAAGCGTCGCGGGAGAAGAGAGAAAAACGGCAGCATAAAAGGCTTTTTACCCGCCGCGCCACCACCACCACCACACCGCCACCACCATCCCTATATACATATTATATATACCTGCCAACGTCGACGACGACGACGACGACGACGACGAGGCTTGGGCCGCTCGCGCTACATATAATATAGGCCGGAGCGCTGCCGATCCGCGGCGTCGGTGGTGGCGGTTTTTCTAGAGAAAATCTGGGTAGGTTTACATTTTTTTTTACAGCCTCCCTACCCGCCRCCGACTCTTTTCTCTTCCGCCGCCACCGTTACCACTCGCTCTGATCACGGCGCGCGTGGGCCCTCAGCTTCCGACCCGCGTTCGGTATTGATTCGGCGCTCATAAATTACATTTGCCTAGTAAAATGAGAGAACGACACCGCCGCCACCACCGCTCTGTCATTGGTCGTGTGTAGGAAGCGGGGTGAGACGGCGGTGCGAGCGCGGTGGCGACGACGACGAAGAAGGAAGCGGTGGCAGTGCCGTATATATATATATGTATAGGCCCGGCGGACGGGAACGAATAACCGTATTCCTCCGCCGCCGCCCGTACACAGTACAAACACACAGACACACACACAGACACACACGTGCATATAAATTATAAACGCGCGCGGGCGAAAACGAGCGGTGGCGTATATATACGCACGCGGTGCGTGTGCGAAGGGGACGAAAAACGCCGAAGTGCTCGATACCCCGGGGGTAGTAAGGTG